TTGAAAGGCTGATAGACATTTATTGTACGAGAAATACAACGGGCCTCGATATTAAAAAGAATATAATATCCAAGCTTGGCTCCATGAATCTACCCCTCGAATTCCTAGTGGGGCAAAGCTATGATGGCGCCTCAAACATGAGTGGAAGAATTAATGGAGTGCAGGCTTCGATTAGAGCGGAGGCGCCAAAGGCAGCTTTAATTTGGTGCTATTATCATCGATTAAATTTAATAGTTGTTCAATTATGCCAATCAGTAAAAGAGCTGCGAAATGTCTTGGGAATATTAGACGAAATTTACGTATATTTTAATGGTGTTAAAAGATATGAAGTACTCAAAACATGTCAGAGTGATTTACTGACAAAATCACATAGATTTTTACGCATCAAGAATACCACTCGGTAATATTATCTTAATTGTTTCGATATATAATGTTTATTTTATATTTATAGAAGCTGGCTAACATCATATAAGGCGATTGTAATTTTTTTCCTACTTTATGATGCTTTGAGGGCAGCTTTGGCAAATTTAAAGGATTCTGAAGATCCTGCCACTTCCACTATGGCTAGTGCTATAGTCTATAGAATAGAAACATTTTATTTTATTTTATCACTATGTGTTTTGGATAAAATATTGTTGATAACAAGCTTGGCTTGTACAAAATTGCAAACCATTTCGAAGGATATAGGGTTCGCAATAAATCAAATTCAATTGGTAAAAGATTGCCTGATTAATATGAGAAGTATAATTTAAATTATTATCTTTTATTATTTTATAATCCTAAAATAGATAATAACACTGAATTTTTGGATGTCTTTTCAAAGGCCCAAGATTTTTTGAAGAAGAGAAATTTACCTTTTGATTTTGAAAGTTCAAGACTTCAAGCATTACAATCCAAAAAGGAGAGATATATATATACTTTCATCATTAAATATAATATTTTATTTTAGCTTTAAAATCAGTGTGTTTTATGCTGCACTTGATTTAATTATTATGCAGTTTAGTGAAAGATTTAACGATGAATCGATAAAATTTTTGAGTCAAACATCATTTTTTACCCCAAAGGGAATGGCGGAAAAGGCAATTGTTAAAGATGATATCAAGGATATCTGTGAATTTTATCAATTAAATACAAGTCAAGTTTTTGAGGAAATGTTGATGTTTAGAAATATTTATAAAATGGCTAAAACGGGGGACATAATTATTACTCGTGACCTAGAGGTTAAAGAAGATTTGTCAGATTCTGAGAATTGTAAATTTATTTAATTAAAATATTTTTACTAATACATTATTTAGCTTCTTCTGATGATGATAATAATTCTGAGATGAATGATTCAGACTGGAAAAACTATTCATTTATTTTACCTTATCATCTGCTTATAAATTTTTCTGCTTTCCCTAACAATTTTATATAAATATTTATTAACTATTCCTACTACATCATGTACTGCCGAAAGGGTCATGAGTAAAATTAAACTAATTAAAACAAGACTTCGTAGTGTCATGAAAGATCCATTTCTTAATAATTTAACCATTTTATCAATGGAAAATAATTTATTTAAACATTTAAATATTGATAAAATTATAAATTCTTTTGCTTTCTCTTCCCCTAATTTATCTAAATTATTAATTTAAAAATAATATTTTTAAAGCATATATTTTTTACATTATATTTATATTATAATAAATATTGATGCAATAAAAATTATTTTTGAAATTTATTGGTGTCAAAAAATAATTTACAATGGGGGGGGGGGGGTACTTTAGGGGGGTATTCTGCTTCTATCCCTCAAAAAGTGTAGGGGTCACTGGTGAGGAGGTTGAGTGAGAAAGGTTTATTAGTTAAAAATGATATTTACAAAATGGTATGCATGCCTCTTATAGTATTTCTTAAAATTATTGTCTATTGACAAAGTGTGCATAGTCACTCCAAGACAGAAAATTTGTTGTAGGAAAACCTTCTTTTAAATTGACCCTCTACCCTCCTTAGAAAATTTTCATTCACCGCCTTCGCCCGTAATATTCTTCCATCAACTATACTATAACAACCCCATGAAAAAATTTATAATAAGCCACCATATATAACCTCAGAAAAATTCCAATTACCATTAAAATTAAAATAATTATCTATTAATAAATTTTTTTTCAAATAGTGTTATCTAATTTACCCTATTCCTCTTTGGATTCCTACCCCCTATTCTCTTCAAGAAAATTAAAGGCAAATTGCTCCTATCCCTTTATGTAGACGTCGAGTCTACCTGTGAGAACAATAAGTCATATATCCTTACTCCTCTCTAACCTATTCGCCCTATCCTATCAATTTATCTTCTATTCCCTTAAAAGGAGGTTCCTAATTCCCGTTTAGATATATAGAAAAGAATATCCCCTAACCCTTCCTCCAGGGATATTTTGTAAAATTTAAAAAATCAAAATTCTAAATGTAAGATAAAATTTAGCAGAATTGTTTTATTAAAATAAAATAATATATTATGTGCTATGGCAAAGACAAACATAAGAGACTACATGAATGGGGGGGGAGGGGAGGGGGAGGTGACATTTATTTTCACATATCTTTAGTACACAGTGGAGTAGATAGGAATTTTTTTAGAGGAGGTCTATACATGTAAAAGACTGGGGGGCTTCGCCTCCCAGACCCCCTTTAACGGGCCTTCGGCCCTTTTGCTCGCCCTTCGGCCGCTATTTGCTCTGACATCTTCTATAATATATAATAAATATATTTTTTAAATGCATCAATAATATGTTTTTATAATTTAGTAGATTATTCTCAATGACTTTATTATAATACTAACCAGAATAATTTCAATAGTAATATAATATCCTTCCACAAACATCAAAACCAGAAAAATAAAAATATTAATGGTATTTATTTAATATAAAGTCACTTTTAAGTCTTTTGAACGTATAATATAGAAAAATAATTTTGCTCTGGGAGAAGTCCAAACCCGAAAACCACCCCCGTAGCTACTCCACTGTTCGTACATGCTCTTAGTGGACATGGATTGGTTAAATTAAAGGAGGGGGAGGGCTAGACGTGTTGACTATTAGTATAACAATGTCTGCATGTCCTTAAACAATTTATACTGGCAACGAAAGTTAAAAATTTGTAAGTTGCTATTAACTGTCGTGTTATCTCTTTTTAATAATTTTTTCTGCTTTGTAATTAAATGATAACTTAAATTTTGGATTTGATTTTAATAAATTTTAAAAATTTTATAATATTCGGTTTCCTATGTTAAGCCATATGAATTAAATGAATACTGAATACACCATTATCGAGGAATATGCTTAAATTTATGTATGACCTAGGCCATGTTGTGACTGATCTTTTGTACTGTACTGTAGGTTATTTAGCCGTTCCCTTCATTTATTCTTATAAAGAATCTCTTTACAGAGCAAGTGAATTCTTTTTAAACCAATTTAATGTATAATGCATATTTTTTAAAAAAAATTAATCAATGAACCAAGACTTTATCTGCTGTCTCTTTAAATATAAAATTTGTGTCTAATATTATTGTTGTAATATATAATCCATTTAAGAAAAGAAATAGTAATTCATATGATATTAAACCATCCACCTTATGCGAGATTATAATATTAGGCAGATATTATTTTACTTAAAAACATTAATATAAAAATACAAACAAACATAAAGTTAAAAATAAATTTCAACATTTTCAAGAAACAATTTAAGATTTTTTTTAGCACTATTCAACTAGAATAAATATGTTTAGCTTTGAACCCTGATATTTAATGTGTTTTTTAAAATATTAGATAGCGTTGTAATTTATTCTTATATATGAAATAAATTTGATATTTCTGAGTAGCGTCGATGGATTATTCAGTTCAATGTGTGTTAGAGGTCTGCATTGGGCGATGTTTGGGCCCGCCAGCTTAGGCGGGAAAAAAAATTTTAAGAACGGGCAAGCGGGCGGGTTATAAAAAAATTTAAAGTATGGGCGGGTTAAGAGATTTAAGCAATGGGCGGATGGGCAAAAAATTAAAATCATTTAGTAAATATTAATAACAAATGGTTCTTATGAACTTTTTGGGTATTATATATTAAAATGCCCCTATTTGGTATCATAAAAACTCTTTTGTATTATTAAAATTTCCTGGTGGGCTATCAAGATTAGTAAAAAAAATATTGGCAATTCCTGCAACTAATGCTTCTTCTGAATGAGAATTTAACATTCTGGAAGGTTTTTAGAACAAAGAAGAACGTGCTTGAATCCAGAAAATGTCGATTCATTATTATTTTTGTATTATTACATATAATATCTTTATATTTATATTTTTTCATAAGTATTTTATTTGATCAAATTATTCATAATTTAAATTGAATATTTTTTTATGCTTAATATAGTAATTTCCATAATTAAACTTCTTGTAGAGGTGCAATGCTGAAATATTTTTATAAGATGCTTAAAAAATTAAAACAATGGGCATAATTAAATTTTATAATAGCGAGCTTGGGCTAAAATTTTTTTTATAAATAATGTATGGGCGAATAAAATTTTTTAGACTAATGGGCGTGAGAATAAGAAATTTTAGACTAATGGGCAGTCTGACGTGTATATTTTTTTAAAAAACTATGGGCGGGCTGGGTGGGCGGGTTAAAATTTTTTAAAATATTGAATGGTGCAGACTTCTAGTTTTTGTATCACAATCCAATAGTTTTGGGTTTAAATCCAACAAGGATCTTTTCTAAAGCCGGCTAGGTGGTTCCATTAGGTGATAATATACAGAATATCGGAAGCGACCACGTAATTCCATAATATAAGTCTTATATAGATTTGATGAATCCATATTATTTTATTCTATTTGCAAAAAATTGAAAATATAATTTTTTTTCATCAAATCTCTAAACACCTATATTAATAAATAAGTGGGTCTTATTATATTTTAACATAGTTTGATCCCTTTTAGCAAGTGGCTACATGGCGACCAACGTCATAAAGCATTGCCCATTTTATTACTTGAAAAAAAATTGCCCACCTTAAAGTTCGGTCAGTTTTTTAAAATTTTTAATTTTTTATGAGCCTAGTTTCTTGCCTATCTTGGGTTCCAAGAGGATATGCAGCAGCAAGATCTCAAAGAGTAAATATATTTTTTAAATATTTATTTATCCTACTTATTAGATAAAATTAGACGAGACCGAATTAAAAGCTCTTTTTAATAATGAGACAAAGTAAAGTTTATTATCATTTTTTAAAATTTAATCTATATATAGTGAAAGTGAAATTGCCACTAATAGTAACGTTGATAGATGTTTAGAAAGTGAAGTAGATAATATATATGGTTTAAATTCATATGAGGAGGATGCTGATAAATCTGAAGAAAATTTTGGCAAAGAATTTGTTAATCTCTCTAAAATATCGTGTTATCATTCTAACAAATTAGACCCATACATTAACCATAAAAAAGATATAGGAGGAACAAAAAAACAAACACATAAATTAGAAGATGTAATTTTATACACTAAATCTCATTTAATTTCATAATAATTTAAGTCTGATTTAGATTCTGATGAGCTAGATGATTGGCTAATCAAACCTGATGATAATTTATTGTCTTGTGGTGTTATAAGTGCTGATGGCAAAGGCTCTATAGAGACATATAGTATATAATATATATTAAAATTTTAGTTAAAAAATTAAATAAAAGATTTCCCTTTTTTATTAATATAGATTTATATTATTTAAAAATATATATTGTTGACACTAAAGCTGTATGGCTGCATGCCCATAAAAATGGGGAAAATAGAAAAATTTTATGTACCCCCATTTATGATGCAAATAGAATTTATGTTGGTAAATAGAAAAACATATATAACTTCATATATGGTGCAAATAGAAATTAAATAGAAAAATATAAACTTTTTATAACCTCATCTATGGTACAAATATTATGGGGGTAAATAGGAAAATATAAAATTCTTATAACATCATGTATGGTGCAAATAATGGGGGTAGATAGAAAAATATAAGCTTATAACTTAATCTATGGTGCAAATAGAATTAATGAGGGTAAATGAAAAAATATAAACTTCTTAACCTCATATATGGTGGAATTTATGAAGTTAAGTAGGAAAATATGAACTTTCATCCATGGTACAAATAGAATATATGAGGGTAAATAGAAACTTAAATAAAAACTTATAACTTATCCATGGTGTAATTAGAATTAACTAATATTCCTATCTTAAGAATACCCTATATTAAATAAATGTTATAAAATTATCAATAATTATGTCTAACAGCCATTTTTATTTTGTAACAAAAACAAAAATTTAAAACTTTAAATAATTTCAACATTTTGGTTTAAAATAAAAACAAAAATCAATCACATTGTGTAAATACAGTTAGCGACAGGTAATACAAAACCAAATTTTTCCCCGAGGTTTTTAAAATATTTCACAGCAAAAATGGTACCAATTAAGACACATCACACATGACTGATAAACCTTTATTTAACATAATATGAACATCCATGGCATAGCCATGGTTCTGCTAGGATATTTTTATATAAATTCTTAAGTTTTTTCCAAGCATCCAGTGTAAAATGGGTTTTCAGGATATTGATATCGGCATCTTTATCGACAGCAAAACGACAAACACAACACGACATTAAACAACAGAGCAGCTAATGTGTCGTAGACATAGAATTCATAGTAGTTGCAACACGCATATTTTTATTTTTTTTTAAAAATGGTATCTATTATAACTTTAAAATTAATCCTATTATATCGTTATATGAAAAGAAGGAGAAAAAATAACTTGAATGTTAGAAAAGAAGAGGAAGGAGAGTTCTCAGTACTTTTCCCAAAACTTATAACAATCCTGAAAAGTTTTACAATTATATGAGATTAACCAAAGTATATATTTTATTGTATAATTTTAATTTTTTATTTAGAAAACCTTTTATTATATTTTAACCCATATTAAATCAAAACAAATGGTAAAAAAACAAATTTTATTAAAAATCCCACATCAGTAGAAGAAAAATTGATGATCACACTAAGGTTTATACAGAGTTGTTAAAAGCTATAAAAGTAGCGTGCTACCGCTATTGCTATTTGTTAAAAAAGTAGCGCGCTACCGCTATCGCTATTTGTCAAAAAAAGTAGCTCGCTATTAGCTATTATTTTTTAAAAGTAGCTTTAGCTACTTTTTATAAAAAATTTACAAACAAATTTTTTATTTTTTGCTTATAATGTTATTGTATAGTAAATATATGAAAATCAACATTTATAAATATTAAAATATAGTTAGTTTTGATTATAAAAAAATTTATGTAATAAAAATAAATATTTATGGTAATTTGTTGCAATTTAATAATAAAATCATTTCAATATTATCATCTCCAAGTCTAGAGTGATGATCAGAAAGTATAAGTTTTGCCTTATTAAATAATCTCTCGACACTAGCACTTGAGGGTAAGGGCGTATTTAATCTTATATACATATTTTTAATATAAGATAGATTATCAATAATTTTATTTGCAAGTACATCGTATGCCTGGCATCCTATTTTCATTTTGAGGGCTAATGCCACAGATCTTCTTTTTAAAGTTCTAGGGAATAGCCAATGGCCTGTGATTCCCACATAAGCTCAAAAATTATAATCAGATCAATTTATAAATATAAATAAGTTTTTACCTTCTGTTATGTGTTCAATTATCTCCGGTGGTACATATATATGATATCTCTGATAACTCTACTATTAGTGTCTGGCGGCATAAAATTGTTGTACCAGGGGATAGAGTTTTAATCATCATTACAAATGATGGATTATCAACTAAGGACATTGACTGAACTGTATAAATTATAAAATCAACAATAACTTTATTAGCCTATTTCTGAGAAATATTGTCATTTACATTATTAATTTGGTTTGAATTGAATTAGTCTTTTTGGATGTAGAGTCGCCTATACATTTAGATGTTTCTCCATTTCCTTAAAACTTATGAACAGTCTTATAAAATAAATATTATTAGAATGTAAAAATGACAATTTTCCTTTAGGTGTTTCTTGAGGTTATAGCTACTGGATTGATTTGAGGAAATATTTATTTTTACATTTTAAACAAATAAATTTGAAACCAGTTTTGGTTATATATTTATTTTAAAAAAATTTCATATCTAGGGTAGGAAAATTTGTATTATAGCTATTAAGAACATTTTCTTCCCTGGTATCTTCCATTTCATTAATATCATTGTCTGAATCACTTGCAACAATTTGGATATCCATAGGCGATGACATTTTAATTAACACGTGATTTAGGTTTATAATACAAATGAAAATATAAATTACAAATTGAAATTATATTTTAATTTCAAAATTAAATAATAAATTATAAAAATTTTACACTTACCTTCATTATATTTTTTAAAAGTAGCGAAGTAGCGGCTACTTGGCTACTTTCAAAAGAAGTAGCGCACTAAAAAATTAAATAATTACAAAAAAAGTAGCCGCTATTAGCTATAGCTACCAAAAAAGTTCGCTATAGCGCGCTACTTTAACAACTCTGGGTTTATATTATTTATTTTATTTTATATAATCAAAATTGCTTAGATATTTGGGAACAGGATGTAACTATCCAAGTTAGCCTATTCATATAAAATGGGATTATAGAAAATTCAAAAAATACTTATTTCAACATGTACTGTAATATTTGAAGTATTAGAAAATATCCATTTGAAACCACCTAATTTAAATGACTTCTAAATAATTGCGGATCAATTTGAGAAGTCTTGGAACTTTCTAAATTGTGTTGGAGTCATTGATGGTAAACACATTGAGATTAAAAATCTTTCTAATTCTGGGAGCTTATATTACAACAAAAAACATTATTTCTCCATGATACTACAAGCATTAGTAGATAGTAAAGGTAGATTTATAGTAATTGCTGTAGGCAGTTATAGCAGTGAATCAGATGGAGGTGTGTACTCAAATTCTTTGTTATCAAAAATGATTGAGAATGGAGACTTAGATATTCCACCACCAAAAAACCTACCAAATACAAGTATCATTCTGTCACATATTTTTGTGGATGATGATACTTACCCGTTAAAATATTATATTATGAAACCTTATAAAGGTAATGATAAAACAATATATTTTTTTAAGGCTAAAGAAAAGAACAATTTAAAGTTTTTACATATAAAAAAAAAGTAAGAAAATAAATTTTTTAAGGTTATTAAATTTTAAAGGTTATATTATTCATTTTATTTTTACATATTTAACAGGTAAGTTAACAAATATTCAAGAAAATTATAATTATTGCCTTTCAAGGGCCAGAAGAATGGTGGAATGCACCTTTGTCATATTGGCATCTAAATGGCCTATTCTTAATCGAGCCTTGGATAGAAAACAGATCTCCACCTCAAGGATACTCAAGATTCTAAACAAAATAATTATTTATGGAATCTCAATCTATAAAAAACCCCTCAAAGGTTTCTATATTTCTGAATATTTTTAAAATAAATTATCATGGCAATTATAGCTTTATAATTTAATAAATTTTAAAAATATTACTCTATTTTTTTTATATTGATTTGTAATTATTTAATAAAAGAAAGTTTATTTATTATATGTGTCTTAAATATGATTAAAATAATATAAAAGCCCTCCAATGAAATAATAACAATGCAATATAATATTTTTTTATTTTTCTTGGTCACTGTCAAAATTGAAGAGTATTTCAAAATAATTTTAATAAGCTTTTTATTTCCCCTTTCTGATCATCTTTTGCAAGTGTTTGCTCAAGCATGACATTGATCCAAGAATTTGTAGATAATCTTCTTTCTTTCATTTTTCCTATTTCAAGTATTTGCTCAAATAGATTTAGTTTAAAATAATAAAAATATTTACAAATTCAAATTACCATGATCAATATCCTTCTTTTTAATTAATTATTTGCAAGATAAATTTGATCCTATACTAGTTGAGGTGATGTTAAATATATATAATATTATTTATATAAAATATGATTACAATCATTCCTTAAAATTGTAGCTTCTCCACTTGTCTCTATGCAGGAAATTTCAATGGCTATGTGTTAATAAAATCTTAACAAATATTAGTATATTTACCATCTTCATATTGATAATTTTCATTACCATTCATTGGCTCATACATTGCTCTAGCAATATTTGCTTCATCAATTTTAGATATAACAGAATTTGTTTTTTTCAAATTGGTATACTGAATCCCTGGCTCTATAGTTTTTATGTTCCCTCATAAATCAATCTCATAGATTTTTCCATGCAGATTTGGCCATCTCTACTGCAAAAGAAAAATATCTCAAATTAATATACTCTTTAATTACTTGTCTCAATATTGTTTTCAGCTGATGGTATCTGATGGAGTTGATCAAATCTTCTTTAATGATTTTCTAAAAAAATTATTAACTTAATATTTATTTATATTCTAATATATATATATATAATTTATTATTTTAATAGCGTTTCAAAAATTTACTTGTTAATTTTCTTTTTCGGCCGTATTGTAGTTATGTCGCTCTGATTTGTAAAATGCGACAAATTTGGCGGGAATGTCGTGTCGCGTCGCAAAAGCCACTATGAATAGTCATTGGTAATTACATATATTTGTATTTTATCTATGTTTGTGCAAACCTCTACAAAAAGATTTGAGAGATGAAAGAAAAAACTTATTAAAATTATTTTTGATTTATTGTTAAATTATGAAAGTGATCATGAATCAAAAATATTATATTGCATTGTTATTATTTCTTTGAAGAGCCTTTATATTATTTTAATCATATTTAAGAAATAAATAAACTTTCTTTTTATTAAATAATTACAAATCAATATAAAAAAATTAGGGTAATATTTTTAAAATTTATTAAATTATAAAGCTATAATTGCCATGATAATTTATTTCTATAAAAATATTCAGAAAAGGCATCTCTAAATCTTTAGAAACCTTTGAGGGGTTTTTTATAGATTGAGGATTCCATAAATAATTATTTTGTTTATGATCTTGAGTATTCTTGGGTGGAGATCTATGTTTTCTTTATTAATAACCAAATTGTGTAATAGTGCATAAGTTTTTATAATTGTTTCGCTATTGGTGATATTAGTATCCCTCGATTAAGAATACACCATTTAGTTGCCAATATACCAAAGGTGCATTCCACCATTCTTCTGGCCCTTGAAAGGCGATGGATAGTTACATCCTGTTCCCTAATATCTAAGCAATTTTGATTATTTAAAATAAAATTAAAATAAACTTATCATCAATTTTTCTTCTACTGATGTAGGATGGATTATTTATAAGTTTTGGGAATAGTAATGAGAATTCTCCTTCCTCTTCTTTTCTAACATTCAGAATATATTTTCTCCTTTTCATATAAGGATATTAGAAATAATTTAAAAGTTGTTTAGATACCTTTTTTAAAAAAAATAAAATATGCTTGTAGCAACTGTCATAAATGATACCCATTTTAGTAGAAATATCAATCAATTTTATAAATATATAAATATATTAGTTTTTAATTAACCAAATGTCAGTCATTTCTGACAAAGATTTTTGTTTATATTTTTTTTTGAACAAAGAAACACTTTTTTTTTTATGACTTTTCGATTTTTATATTTTTGTGACTTTTAAATTTTTGATAACCTTTTTTTTATGGTAATAAAACCTTTTTAAATTATGATAATATTTTGCGCCTTTAATTTTTTACCTTTGTAATTTGATATAGTTTTATTTAATAAAGATATAGATCCGAAGATTAGTTTGCCTAGCATTTAATTTGATAGTTTGCATTCTGAGTTTAGCTTTATAGTAGAATTTAGTCTTAGTAATTTTTCTGATATAATTAATATTTGAACCTCTTGTTTCCTCGTTATTTTCGGTTTTTTGTCATTGGTGACCGAGACCACCAGGATTGTTTAGATTCCAGGGTTATTCGGTATTTCAAGGTAAAGAAAAAATATTTTATTTTATATTTTGTATCTCACCTCAGAACACAACGCAATCACATTTTTGTTTAAATTTTTTAAAAATTGAACAAGGCCGTTTTAAGGTAATATAAATTTTTCATATAATGAGATGGGCTTTATATTTAATTTTGATATTGAGCCTAGCGTATTTGATAAAATTTCGGAGTATCCGAGTATTACTTATCAAAGTTTGTATCAAATGGTTGATAAATTTGATGTAAATAATGCCGTAGTGACAATTTTATTGTTGGTTCTACTGTACGTGTTATATATTACAATAAAATTTTTGTTTGGAAAATGTACTCTGGGCGCGACTAGAGTATATGGTAATTGGAAAATAGACACTCCGGTGTCGGCTGATTGTTGGAAAAAGATTTCGGTCTTGGAAAGTAGTTTAAATGGAATTTTAAATGAAATCAAGAACGGCAGACCTGAAAAGGTGGAAATGATGAAAGATAATAACGATGATCGTTTGGATAGTGTGGAGAGATCTATAGTTATCCTCCAGGAATTGAAAGAATTAAAAGACATGATTAAGATTATATATCAGGATATGAATACGTTGGTTATGGCTAATAGTAATAGTAATAAAGGCCAAGTGCGTGGTCCGACATGGACAGATGGAAAAAATATTTCCATTGAAAAAAATGGCTTTTCAGGTCATAAGAAAATTTTTGAAGATTTGAAATGTACCCGTTGTGGGTATGTGGGTCACAAGGTAGAGACCTGCGTAGTCAAAGAACAAAATTTTCGTGAAGGTTTTCCGTTAAAGAGATTGGCATCAGAAAATTTTAATGTTAGAAAAATTTCTGGTACTAACACGAATAAATTTGATGTTTTACGACCGAATTATGGCAAATCCCGTTTGTGTTTTAAATGTAACAAACCGGGACATGTAGCCATAAACTGTATCAAAAATTGACTATATGATTGCAAATGTAATCATATAGTAGGTAGGAGATCGGGATGGAAAAAAAATAATAAAGTAAATAACCATGATAATAACCGAAATTTTTTAATTTATGATGATAAAAATAATAAAGATTCTAATGAATTTAAATGGGAGAAATATCCTTTGGGTATTGTTAAATATTCCGATGAAAGGAATATGAATATTTTCAGATGGGAAAAATATCCCAGTTATATAAAAAAAAACAATATGAATATTGTTAAGGAACCACTAAATTCCGAGTTGAATTTATGTTCAAATGAGAATTCTCATGAAACTGATGTTTCAGATGAGATTAATATTGATCCGTCAATTAAAACATATGATATTTTAATGACTGAAAGATTAGTCGAACCTCGTCCTTGTCCAAGAGTTATCGTAAGAGTTGACTCTAGGGATATTGACATGTTGTTCGACACAGGGGCTAGCATTTCTATAATGTCTCGAAGAAATTATTTTAAGTATTGGCCTAAAGGTAAGCTTGAGAAAGAATCTATGTGCGTCAGACAATTTGATGGGTCTGAGATAATAGTTTTGGGAAAAACTAAATTGGGCGTAATTCTTCATGATACCACATTTTTCCTAGATTTATGGGTAGTAAAGAAAGATGTGGAAACCATCATGGGGTGGGATTGGATTGTTCAGTTAGGTCCTTTCAGTAATTATTGGAATATTTTTGCCCTACATAATGGTTCGGTCATAATTAACCCGAAGGACCAAAATATTGCTTATAACGCTCTAAAAAATATCTGTGAAATAGAAGGGAAGGATTTAACCATAAAACAAAATGATTCAACCCATAATTCTGATTGGTATGTAAAGTCCACGGAATTAATGGTTGAAAACAACATTAGCATTGATAAAACCCCAGTGGTGGCTATTGGTATTCCTGAATTACATAAAATGAGTGAAAATATATCTCGTTTAATGAAGAAGTATGAAATAATTTTCGAAGACAAATTAGGTTGTCTTAATGATTATCAAGTAGATATAAAATTAAGGGAAGGATTTGCACCTATTTTCCTAGCGTGTCGTCGAGTCCCTTTTGAATGGAAAAAGGAAATTGACGAAGAATTGGATCAATGGGTTAAAGATGGTATCATTGTTCCAGTGGAATATAGTGTATGGGCAACCCCGTTGGTACCGGTTAAGAAATCAAATGGTAAATTGAGACTCTGTGCTGATTTCAGAGTAACCGTTAATCGATGGGTAGTAGAGGTTAAATATCCTTTACCCCGAATTGAGGAAATTTTGGCCCAGTTGAAGGGAGCGAAATATTTTTCAAAGGTTGATTTTTCGTCCGCCTATTTACAATTACCTTTGAGGGAGGAGATTCGTAAATTATTGACGATCACGACTCCCAAAGGGCTGTTCGCTTTTTGTAGATTACCATTTGGGTTAAGTGTGTCAGCGCCTATTTTTCAGCGAACCATGGCGTCCGTTTTCCAGGGACTAGAGGGTGTATTTTATTACATGGATGATGTGCTAATTACAGGGATAACGCCTGAGCAGCATAACCATCGTCTGGAGGAAGTTTTTAAAAGAATTCAGGGTAAAGGCTTGAGAGCCAGCAAAGAGAAAAGCCTTTTGGGTGTAATGGAGGTCGAATATTTAGGCCATCAAATAAATGGGATTGAGGTGAAGCCATTGCAAAAAAATTTGAAAAATATATTAAATTTAAAGCAGCCCAATAATAAGGCTGAAGTGCAGTCCTTTTTGGGTATGGTAAATTACTATCATCGTTTTATAGAGGATTTTGCGAAGGTAGCTGCCCCGTTATATGAGTTATTAAAAAAAGGCGTTCATTTCGATTGGAAAGTAGAGCAACAAGAAGCATTTGAAATTTTAAAGGGAAAAATTGGGGAAGAGCCAATTTTAGTCTGTTTCAACAATGATTTAGAAATTATTTTAGCGGTTGATGCCTCCAACAAAGGTGTTGGAGGAGCCTTATTACATGTAATTGATGCTGTGGAAAGACCCATCCTTTTTTTTTCCCGAGTTTTTAGGGATGTCGAAACGAGATATTCGGTGATTGAACAGGAGGCCTTGGCCGTGATTTTCGGTTTGACGAAATGCCGTGAATATTTGATTGGTAAAAAATTTGAAATTTTTACTGACCATAAGCCATTAATCCACCTATTCCGAAAGGATAATAGGGAGTTAATGCTATCTCCCCGGTTACAACGTTGGTTGTTATTAGTGGGAAGTTTTAACGTGGAAGTTAGATATCGTCGGGGCAAAGAGAATCATTTGCCGGATATTTTGTCCAGGTTGGGTTCTGACTGTGCAGACCCGGAAATAAATAGTAGTATAAGTGATAGAGAGAAGGCCTTAGTGCGTTCTCTGTCTTATATTTTAAAAGGGGGTCCTACCAATTGGGAGGATTTGAAAGCCAATACTGTGAATGACAAAGTGCTAGGTCAGATAAAATTAAGTCTAACAGGAGATAAACCTTGGAAAAACAAATATGATGCATATAAAAAAATACAGAAAGAATTATCAATTGTTGATGATTGTATTATGAGGGGAAACAGGGCCGTAATTCCTTATAAATTACGGAGTAAAATTATGAAATTATTGCACGCCGGTCATCAAGGTCGAGACAAGATGAAGTCTTGGGCTCGAGAATATGTATGGTGGCCTGGTATGGGCAAAGATATTGAACGGATTACCAGGAAATGCGTTCCTTGTAATGCATGTGCTCCTATGCCCCGTAAAGAGGTAGGGCAGGTTTGGCCTAAATCAAAGAAACCTTGGGAACGTATCCACATCGATTTCTTTGATCTTGATAAAAAGACATATTTTTTAGTGGTAGACTCATATTCTAAATGGATAGAATATGCATTAGTACATGGATACACCACAAAAATTGTTGTGAAAAAATTAAGAGAATTATATGCTCGGTTCGGTTTTCCGGACAAAATAGTGTCTGACGGGGGTCCCGCCTTTGTCAGCGAAGATTTTAAACAGTTTTGTGTTGAGTCACAGACAAAACACATTCTAGCTCCACCATATCATCCCAGCTCGAATGGACAGGCTGAGAGGATGGTAGCCATTGTTAAAAATTGGATCAAAAAGGCTGGAGCCCATAAAGAGGAGGCTTACATGTCTCAATTATATTACCTCAATTCTCGTAATCGAGAGGGAGTTACGCCTGTCGAGTTATTTTTAGGTAGGCGAACACGGGGTCCTTTGGATTTCTTAAAACCAAAGAAGAAGACTATTACCTCAATGGAAGTAAAATTAGGGGTAAGGTTTGCCGTGGGACAAAAGGTTTGGGCCCGATTGTTCGACAATCGAGCAACCAAATGGGAAAAGGGTCGGGTCATATTGAACCGGGGTTCGAAATTAAGTGAAATTTTGTTAATAACAGGGGTGACCGTGGTTCGGCATCACGATCATATGAGATTGGGATAAATAAGAAGCGTCTTATTTGTTTGGGGTACATATGGGTTCGGTTTCCGAATATATTTAGTCATATTGAAAATAGTTCAATATAGACAGGTTGTTGGTCATTTTCAGTTAAAAGCATATTTCAATTTAGATGAGTTTAATAAAATCGGGTTCTTAATATATTTGGTCATATTAAAAATAGGTCCATATAGACAAGTTTAATAAATTTATCAACATGGTAATGATATGGAAAGTTTTTTTCGGTTTGGTTCGTTAAGGAATGTCTTTGTCTGTTTTGTCAAATGAAGATTTGTGTTAATGTTGTCTTGTATTAAATAAAGTTTGATTTTCAAAGTAATGAAAACATGTTTGTATATTGTCCGTTATTAAATGAATAGAAAGTTTTTTTTCTTTTGTGTAAGGAAAAATTGTGTTAATGTTGTCTTGTATTAAATAAAGTTTGATTTTCAAAGTAATGAAAACATGTGTGTATATTGTCCGTTATTAAATGAATAGCAAGTTTTTTTTGTGTAAGGAAAAATTGTGTTAATGTTATCTGGTATTAAATAAAGTTTGGTTTTCAAAGTAATGAAATAATGTTTTTATCTTTCATTAGATTAATAGAAAGTTTTTTTTTTAAAATGTAATGAAAAGATGTTTATCTTTTATTAGAATAATAGAAAGTTTAGTTTTTTTTTTCTGTTAGTTTTAGGATGGCAAAATTTTTTCCTCACTTATTTTTATTGGGGGATTCGCGTGAATAAGTTAGAAAGTATGTTATTTGTTTCAATTGACGCTCCCACCAAGGGATATTATAATAATATTATTGAGAGGAATATTTTTTTTTGTTTTGATACAATATGCTTGCGCCGTAAATCGTGAGTATAAAAATAGTTTTTTTTTATTAAACATAAAATTTTTTTTTAAAAAATAAGTTAAAGTAAATTAGTTTTATATTAAAAATTTAAAATTTTGTAAATTAATTTTATATTAAAAATTTAAAATTTTTTTTTAAAAAAAAAAGAGGTTAAAGTAAATTAACTTTATATTAAAAATTTAAAATAAATCTCCCGTTGCAGCTGATATCCACATATTCCGGACGATAAGATAAATGGAAACTACCAGTCGATTAGTGGATCTAGGGTCCTGCTACATTCAAATTACCCTGATCCCCAAGAATACCGGTATGACAATACCAGCCACGATGGTACTAGATAATTCGATGATGTCTGGAGGTCCCCGTATCAAGAAATGTTTCCATTGTCGAAGCAATGATCATATTCGAAGCCAGTGCCCAAGCTTAGGAAGAGACGGGCGATCGCCTCTAGCCCCTATCAATGACAACACTATTGGGCAATCAACCAGGCAATATCGAAGGAGAGGGGAGGACTCTACGCGGGAGACAGCTCCATGCGCTCCCATACGACAAGCGCCGTCAGCCAACAGGGGTGCCCTGAATGGTACCTCCAGCGGAAGTTCCAGCAGCACGTCAAACCCCCCCATTGACAACATTCTCCCGCGAACGGTCGATAACATTCAAGGACCTACGCCGACGACGTCAGCTTTTTCTGCGGAAGCTACACGTATAGATGACATGGACTTGTGGGAGAATCAGTTACTCTCCTGAAGGCTCCACAAAAGGTCCGCTGCACCCAGACACCTTTTATATTATATTTTTTTTGTTATTTGGCGTGCCACAGCCCATAAAGGGGTGGCATGTCATAAATGATACCCATTTTAGTAGAAATATCAATCAATTTTATAAATATATAAATATATTAGTTTTTAATTAACCAAATGTCAGTCATTTCTGACAAAGATTTTTGTTTATATTTTTTTTTTGAACAAAGAAACACTTTTTTTTTTATGACTTTTCGATTTTTATATTTTTGTGACTTTTAAATTTTTGATAACCTTTTTTTTATGGTAATAAAACCTTTTTAAATTATGATAATATTTTGCGCCTTTAATTTTTTACCTTTGTAATTTGATATAGTTTTATTTAATAAAGATATAGATCCGAAGATTAGTTTGCCTAGCATTTAATTTGATAGTTTGCATTCTGAGTTTAGCTTTATAGTAGAATTTAGTCTTAGTAATTTTTCTGATATAATTAATATTTGAACCTCCTGTTTCCTCGTTATTTTCGGTTTTTTGTCAGCAACCACTATGAATGCTATGTGGCTTACGACACATCAGCTGCTTTGTCGTTTAATGTCATGTTGTGTTTGTCGTGTCGATCTCTACTGTGAATGGACCCTTAGGCTTCATTTCTGATAAAAATTTATAAATATTTTATAAAAATAATTCACTGCCTAGAGTATTAGCAATATATGGTATATTTTGAGAACTCTTGTAAAATCCGATTATCTATATAAAAATATATCCAATAAAAAATAAATATAAAAACTTGAATTTATTTTATCCTTTAATAAGAAATCAATACATTCTTTCTGCGAATTTTGTGGTTTTGCTATTAAATAAAATAGAAAATAATTTTACAAAATAAAATACCAAATACTATATCCTTACTTTCTATAATTTTAACAATTTCTTTTCTCTAAATTTTTCTTGCCAAGCATTACATGGAAATTAATTCATTACTGTTTTATATTTTTTTTCAAAGTCCATTGAATTTACAATATCTGACAAATCTTTACAAAAACTGTTTAAGGTTGAAAATTTTGTAATAATCTTTTAAAATTTTTGATTTTGATTCATTAAATCGGCACTCAGGGGGACAAATCCCCCCCCCCCCCAAAGCCAAAAAATGCAGATGCCGGATTGTAAAAATGAGGCACAGACATACGGAATCTAATCACCCATTCTTTTTTGATATTATGCTAATTTGTATCATAATATTTTTGAACAAATGGAAGGTTCAAATTAATAAGATTTGGTTTGTTATATTCCATACCAGAAGTGCATATATTAATTTTTATAAAATATTCAAAACTTATATGAATATGACATCCTCTCCTGTTATATTTCTTTTGGTGGTAGTTATTTCTCTCCTAAAGCTGCACATAACATGATATATGCAAATCTGTATGTTAGCTTTAGGAAAACTTTCAAATAAGGCCTACCTATTTGCATCCTTATCCCCTATAATGACATTAATTTGGCCTAGATCATTATATTTTTTAAGGATATCACAACAACTTTTTATACAGTAATAGGTTTTCCCTCTAACAAGCCACAAAGCAGATTGATTGCCCATGTCTGTCTCTAACAAGTAGGATAAAAAGTGCCATTCCTATAAGAATAAATTATATTAAAATTTTAGCATTACATTAAATTTTATATTAATATTTTACATTACATTAAAATTTATTATAAAGGAAAAATGCCATATAATATCACTATATTAAAAATTTTTAATTAAAATAATATATAATTTATTTTACCTTTCCTACATATATATATTAAAATAACTTAAATATTATTATTATTTTCCTAGATTATTGAGTTTGTATGTTGCATCAATAAATACAACTTCAGAATAGCATTTTAGATTGTGGGACATATTAGCATCTTGGTAAAATATGCCCATCAGTTAATTGTTTTCCTCTATTATTTCAACTATGCTCCCTTTTTCTGTTTTAATTCATCACTCACACTAAGATGTATATTAGTTTATGGCTTGTTAAGGTTATTCTCTATTTTGTGAATACTTCTCTAGGTTATCATTTGACCTGTTACAAAATGACTTCCTGAATTTTGACTTTACTACCTTTTATATAAAAATTGCTCAACAAATTGTTTTTTAGTTGGTGACAATTTCCTCTGCTTTGGTAAAACATTTGTAATGTTTTTTCATCTAGATATATTAAAATATATAATTATATTAATATAATGAATCTAACCTAGCTCTTGGTTTGTGTGATTTTCATCAAATTCGCATATAGCTAAATGGTATCCTGTAGCTTTTACTTTTACTAGAAGTATCACTAATTTAAACATACACTCTTTAGTAAGGCTAGATATTTTTTCTAATGCTCAGAGATTTTTTACTAATATAAGTTGTCCGTTTATATTTGAATTGTGTCATCTGCTTCTTAGTGTAAAATGGTTTGAGTAGATCAGACTTATAGATGACAATATTGGTAAAATTTTATTTTTCATAAGTTGATACAGCTTTATTTAAATCAACTATTGAGTAAAACTTGGCATTTACCTACAAATAAAATATAAAAAAAGGATGAAAGATATTGGATTTATTATTAAATTTGATTGTCATCAATAAATTAACTGTCAAAAAATCGTATATAATATATATATTTTTTACCTTGATACTTTCGGATTCTGTAATATTTTACAATTTTTTCACCGAGCAGCAAGCATCATATTGTTCTGCTTTAAGATTTAAATTTAAAGATTATGTATGTGCAATCGATTCCCTTAACCACTGCCACAAATTACCTGCTATTTGCCGACCAGGATGAAAAGACTGGGAAGACATAAAAAATCGGATCTTACAGTTATAGGCTTATCAATAAAAAATCGGATCTTACAGTTATAGGCTTATCAAGAAAAATTCAGAGAAAAAAATTTGTTAAAATTATAGTATTTGGTATTTTATTTTATATAAAATTATTTTCACTATTTTATTTAATAGCAAAACCACAAATTGGCAGAAAGAATTTATTAATTAATTATTATAGAATAAAATAAATTCAAGTTTTTATATTTATTTTTTATTGGATTTATTTTTATATATTATCGGATTTTACGAGAGTCCTCTAAAAAAATACCAATTATAATAATCTTGGCAGTAATACATTTTTATAAAATGTTTATATATTTTTATCAGAAATGAAACCTAAGGCTTATGTCTCACTCATAGAAATGGAAAAATCTGTGTAGATTTTAAACAAAGTATGTATATTAAACGCAATAGAGAAAATTGGAAACAATATATTAGCTTGCAATGATGATATACTAGTTAAAACAACAATCAATATGCTATGCCTAGAAAATAAAGATGTAGATATCGATATCCTGAAAACCTATTTTATACTGGAGGCTTGGAAAAACTTCAAAATTTTTATAAAAATATACTCATGGCTATGCCATGGATGTAATATATTGTTAAATAATGATTTATCAGTCATGTGCGATATGTGTCTTGATTGGTACTATTTTTTCACTATGAAAATATTTAAAAAAACCTCGGAAAAAATTTTGGTTTTGTATTAAATGTCGCTAACTATATTTACGCAATGTGATTGAATTTTATTTTAAACCTAAATGTTGAAATTATTTAATGTTTTAAATTTTTGTTTTTTGTTATATTCGATATAAAAATGGCTGTAATTATAATTGATGTTTTTATAAATTATTTATAAAATATAAGGTATTCTTAATATAGGAATATTAGTTAATTCTATTTATGCCCATAAATTCTATTTGCCCCATGATATAAGTTTTTATTTTTCTAATTACCCCAATAAATTCTATCTGCAGCATAGATGAAGTTATAAGTTTATATTTTTCTAATTACCAATGAATTCTATTTGTACCATAGATAAGGATATAAGTTTATTTTCTATTTACCCCATTTTTGTGGGCATGTAGCAAGAGCCATTTTGCTATAAATATTTAGACATAAATGATGTATTTCTTAATAAAAATAATTTAAAATTTTACATAATTGCTAGTCTATAATAGATCAGAAGACTCTTTTTATATCCATCATGATACAATGCTCCCTTATTTGCCACTTTCATGTGAGTGGTTTTCTTTTGACATCCAGTTATCTAATTCCCCTAATGACCAAATCAATCATCGACATGAAAATAATGATGATAATGCAGAAAATGAATCTGTCTCTACAATAAATTACAGTGGAGGTTATTGAATTTTTCTTTTAACACTTTAAAAATATATAACCTTAAATTAAATTATTATTTTATTTTGAAATTGACCCTTGAAAATTTTTGAAATATTTTTTGGCCTGGTGTTTAATTATTTTGCTTGGCGTGGTCAAATAATTTTATATTAGTTGTCCAGCCTAGCTTGTAATAATTTTAGGGAACTCGTCATATATTATAGCATTTTAATCTTTAAAAAAATTTGCAAAATAATGGTCTGGCCCGTAAAAATATTTTGCAAAAAGCTGTCTTGACCTTGGCCAACCTTTTCTTTGCTAGGCCTTTTTGTTATTTACTCAATCATACAAAGCATTTGTTTTGTTAGCACCAAGGTTTTGGAACATGGACCAAAATTCCAGTTTGAATATCTTTTTTAAAAAATTTCCCTGGAGCTCTGGTATACTAATTTTTAAGGCCGATCTGATATGATATATCACTAATCTCATTTTGTTTGTTATACTTCTTTTTATCTAATATATTTTGATTTTTATTATATAACATAAGGCATTTAAATAATATATATCAAATTTTAATTAAATTATCATTTAGGCTTATATATTCACTTATATTTAGATCATTTATATATATATATATATATAGTAAGATCGTTATAATATTTTTTATTACAAATGTTTTTCTATCCCATTTAGTCTATACATGATCAATATTAATTTTTAGAATTTTTTTAAAATGATTTATTAAGTTTTAAAATTATATATATTCTTTTAAAAATAAATTATGTATTTTATTATATTTTTAATACTTTCAATTATTTAGTTAGTTTTTTTAAAAAAATATCACTTCACATAGACGAGCAGAAAGCCTGCCAGAATGACGGGAGATCAGAATTTTATCCTTAATGTGATTTTTGAATCCGAATATCCACTTTATTTGATGATGGATAAACCAGCCTAAATCAAAAAAATAAAGGGGAAATTTCTGATTTATCCACCATCATATAAAGGAGTTCTAAAAAAATGATTTCCCATCATTATCACCAGAGCTCTCGCTAGTCAGTATTGCTGTTCGCCCCCCCCCTCACTGTTTGAAGGTGGGAGACGGATTTTAGGGGAGCAAAGAAAAGAAAAAAAGAATGAGTAAAAGAAGGAAGAAATATAAAAAAGAGACAAAGATATGAAATATAATAATTGTTTATACTTTTAGACTTGACGAATATAGAGTTTTGACGCACATACATTTGTACCCATATAAAAAGAGAAAATAATATAATAAAATTTATAATATCAAAAATTTTAGCTGTTTCAAATATTTTCAAAATTATATCAACATGTTGCCTTTTATTTGATGATGATGTAGTCTTTTCTTTGCCTAAAATATATCTCTGTTGAAAGCATAATATAGAATTTACTGTTATGGATGGTGAAGATGTTTTCTTTTATTTGATGATGATGTTGTAGTCTTTTCTTTTCCCAAAGTAAAAGTGTGTCATATCTGAAATTTTAATATAAGGGTGTTAAATTTTAAATATAAAAAATATTTTGTAAAAATAAAAACCTTACTAATTTGTAGCGGCAGAATTTAAAACGTCCTGATATACGACATTGAGAGTAAATATTTTAGTATCATTCAAATGTATGCCCTGGTTTTATGTAGGTAATATTTTAATTTTCATATTTTTTTTAATCTGCAACGTGTTAGAGCGATATAGAGCTGAACATGGGAAAACACAGGTTCAGGGGAAAAAAAGGCCTATATTGTCGAATGTTTGACCTTGACTTTTGTTTATAGTGATAACAATAGCAGGAATAATAGGAAATTGGCGTATTTGAATATGAAAGGCAACCGGGAATCGCTTGGGGATAGATCAACTGACAATGAATGAAAAACTCCAGAAATTCTCAGCGATTATCCGTTTCCTTTTATAGAATCAGCGCTATAATATATCTTAGAATTTCCTGGTAGTTTTTGATGATTTCGTTAAATGAATTTAGGGCTATGTTATTTTTAGCGGTTAATATAATTTTTTTAGAAATATGTTAATGACAGATATTTGTATTGCGTTTCAATATATTGAATTGATTAATAAATTTTCTAATAATTAATTTGGGATTTCAATAGAATCTGGAGGGAGTAAAGGATTGTAAACATTTGATAAATACTCTCCAACATTCAAAAGCCAAGAATTATACTCAACATCTTTAGGGGATAATCGCATATTTTCACTCAGGTGGACAACTTTTAAATAAACTAATAAATCAGAAGACTTAAGACACGATTCAATAATATCTGCTTTTGAACTGTTGGAACTGTGTTTGATTATATCTTTAAGTAATCTATCGATACAGCATAAAGCGTATTTAGTCATCATTGTGGCTTCGCCGATAATAATTAATTTGGCGCTTTTAATGACATTGGTTTCAGGGGAATGAAGACTCATGCGAGATACAGGGTTACCAACAATCGGAATAGATAATTTAAATTCACTATGTATCGTTCTACCTCCATTTAAAAGAATAGCGCAATGTCTGTTTTTGCAAACGGTAAAACTATTTGGTTGCGTCCTCTTATATAGCACATTAGGTTATTATACAAAAAATGTTTTTCCCGAACCACCGTGACCATCAATATAAAATACAAAGCTGATCAAAATCATATTTTCAATAGAGAACGATTAAATCAAAAGATGATTTTTGTAAAAATTTTTTTAGAAATTAGTACCATTGCCTCAGATGCCTCAAGATCAATATTATAAATATCTGAGCTATTATAGTAGGTAAAATACCACTCAATAATTTATAATATTGTTTCTCAATAATCTCACCGATTATGATTATAACTTATAATTTCTCAATAATCAATTTTATAAATAAGCAACATCAAAGATTTTATTATTTCATATTTTACATCAAGACAAAGACAATAAAAATTCTTCTTCCACAAAGACAATAATTAATTTCTCCACAAGGAAAAAACCAATCTTTTTTAAATTTCTTTGATTGACATTTTGTATATAAAATTATATATATGTATAAATACATATAACGTGAAAGTTAACTGACATTTCATATATAAATTATATATATATATATGTATAAATATATAACTTAAACATACAAATTCACAACACGCCCACCCTTCAAAAACCACATGTTACATTATCCAAAAATATTTTTCAATTTAATTTATAATATTCAATTCATGTTCATATAATCTTTCCCCTTCATTTCAATTCTCATCATTTATTGGATATCATTTTGCCATAATCTTTTCAATCCTTTCATTTGAGTCATAGCTCTTGGTCATCATTATTCTCCCACTTCTCCATATTTATCTTCCAACAAGTCAGGTGTTAATAAGACATAATGATAAATATTTCATCAAAAATTAATAGTCAAAATATATACCATCACTAAATATAATTTCTTTTCATATATATAATCAATGCGATATTTTGTCTCAATAAAAATTTGAATTTTTCCAAAAAAATTGTTTAAAGTAATCTAACAAAAATATGATTTTAAAGACATAATCATAAATAAGTACATAAAATCTCTATAAATATAATTTTGCTACATATATATCACTAATGTAAGACTTTATCTCAATAAAATTTTATAAAATTTTCATTTTTTTTTTTTAAACAATAAGATGTAATATCTTTAGATCAATCATTGACATTGGTAAACATAAAAATACATGATTTGTGTGACATAAACATAATACAAATATATTCTAATACAATTTAAAATTTTAATTTATACAAACAAAAATATAAAAATATTGTAAAATTTCATAATATTGATAATATCTTCTTTTCTTCCAACATTTAATTACTCTAAATGTTTAATTCCCACTGAATTCTAAATATATTCTCTATATTTTATTTTTTTTTAACCATTATATTTAACAATATTTTTTACTTCACATGTTAATATGCCTCAAATATATTCCCTATATTTAACAATATTTTTTACTTCACATGTTAATATGCCTCAAATATATTCCCTATATTTAACAATATTTTTTACTTCACATGTTAATATGCCTTAAATATATTCCCTATATTTATCAACAAAAATTACATACTTAATATTTAATACATATTAAATTTCCCATTAAAATATTATTCCCAAATATTTAACATATTATCCTGTATTCATTAATATTATCCCAATAAATTATATTAATTAATATTTGAACTAAAAGAATGAAATTTCCCATTAACATATTATTCCCAAATATTTAACATATTATCCTGTATTCATTAATATTATCCCAATAAATTGTATTAATTAATATTTGAACTAAAAGAATGAACCAACTCATATGCCCACTTTTTTTTAAAAAAAAAACCCAAATTGTATATACATATTTGATATATATTTTTTAAATTCTTTCAATACATTCATATTACCATTTAAATTTTCCACAAAAATTTACATGTACTAATTTCATTAAATAACATTCAAATTACCATTTAAATTTTTCACAAAAAATTTACATGGACTCATTCCAATAAGTAACATTCATATTACCATTTAAATTTTCCACAAAAAATTTACATGGACTCATTCCAATAAGTACCCCACTCTTTTACCATTATATTTCCATTTAAGAAATTTTAATTAATGAAATTAATATTCATACCTAAATTCATTTCAGAATTTAAAGGTCTCTGAATCTCATTTATTTCTTTATTAAAAATCTCTTCCAACAAGACAATAAAAATAATCTCATATAAATATACCTTATTTCTTAATCATAAATATCTCATATTTATATTTTTAAAAAAATATCAAAATATTAACACAATTTTCACCCTCCTTATATATATATTTTGCATTCTAATAAGTTCATAATAATATCATATAAATACTAAAATTATTCAAATTAATTAATATTTTACACTAATATTATTTATTCATATTTAATCAATAAAATATCTCTCATTGCGTTGTGTATTACAATTAAAAAAAATTCTTACCAGTATATCCATAATAGTTGAACATCATCCAATT